GGCTCAGCGGCTGAGCGTCGACCTGGGATCCAGGCGGTCGGGGTTCGATTCCCGGTCAGGGCACATGCCCGAGTTGCGGGCTCGATCAGTGACTCTCTCATCATTGATGTTTCTGTCTCTCTCTCCCTCTCCTTTCCTCTCTCTGAAATCAATAAAGATATATTTTTAAAAAACAAAACAAAAACAAAGGGAAACCTTTGTTAGCAAAACAAGGTTTCAGAAACGAGTGGAGCCGCGCGCTCGGAGTTCTGTGGGAAAGTTGTCTCAGAGTAGAATCCTCTGGCCCACGATCCGCAGACACGGAAAGTAGATTAGTGGTCGCCAGGGGGCGAGAGGGTATGGGGAGGAACGGCTTTGGTTTTGTTTTGTTTTTAAAGATAACTGCATGTTGTTTGATTTTTTTTAAAGACAAAATAATTTAAAAATGGTATTCTTGAAATAATTCAAAATGGGCATTGCCTACCACTAAGAGCTGGGAAAATTGGAATTTGGAGCATGCAATACGAACCGCCCTGGGAACCTGATTCCGTTGCTCTGATACACTGATATTAAACCACCAAAGGTTTTTCCGCAGGCTGGGAAGGACTACGACACCCTCTCCAAGCACTCTCTGAAGGTGCCCCCGGCTCCTTCGGCCAGGGCCAACACCAGCCCTTTGATTGACATGTTCGACAACCCAGAGACCGTGGCGCAGAATTCAGGTAAGGTATAAATACCTCTCTCGGTCTTTAAAAGAGGTATTTGGGATAAATGTATCATGAGGTAGAGATGAATGAGCTCGCGCATGGCACACGTCCGGCGCTGGGGACCTCACACCTCAGGCAGACACAGCCTGGGTTTGGGATAAAACCAGGAGACGCTTTATACGTGACAAATACTAATTCTTTATGCCGATTGGTGTTTTCAAGAGCAGATATTCTACTGAAAGGCGTTGCTTTTGAAATTGGATGCAACGTATTTCAACAGATTGGGACCGGTTGTTGTTTGCAGACGTTGCAGGGGCTTTGGGTAGACTCGGCTCTGCCCACAGTGGAGTCTTTGGCACCCAGGACCCTGGAGACTGTCGAGGCCGGGAGCCCCGTGTCCACCTGGGTGTCTCGGGCCCCTGGCTGTGAGAGTCGTGGCGATCGCGCCGTGTGCTAGAGAGACGCCGGGCAGGCGTTTTCAGAATGGCAATGGGGAGGTGATAGTCTGGGGTCATTTGCCTCTGGAGGAAGGACTGCAGATTATATACCATATGAAGTTAAAATAGGTGATGCCGTGTGCACCCCGACCATTCACGCGAGCCTTTGGTTCTCGGGTGAGAGTGCACTGAAGTTGCTGGTGGGTGCAGCGCCGCGGAGGATCGGAGGGCGGCTGGTGGGGGGTCGTGGCCCTTACGCTGTAATTAGGCTGCGGGAGTAAAGCAGAGAGCGCTTAGGTTGCTTCGAATACTAGGCCGGCGACACTGGACTGGAAAAAATATCTTAAAAAAAATCTCCGTCCCAGTTTCTTTTTGGAGTGGCGAGTGTCAGGCTGTATGTGAATGGGGACGCGCAGGGGACGCGCAGTGCCCGCTGCCCGCAGCTGGCTCCTGGCTCTGCCACGCGCCTCCTCGGCAGCTGTGACATTTTGAGCGCGCAGACCGGTCCTTCTGGGGGCTCGGTAGCCGCGCTCGTCCCCACGGCAGCATTTCCAGTTCCCCCTTTCCCGAGCCCAGGTCGCGGGCAGGTGGGTTGAGTCGAGGCCGGTGGTTCGGGTTGAGGGAGCGGGGCAAGGAAGACGCGCCC